GGAGAACAAACATTTTCATACGGTGAGTAGTTTAGGGGGTCTGGAATGTCTTCCTGGAAATGTAGGGGAGGCAGCTTCAGCTGAGGCATTCAAGAAGAAACTGGATGGTTATTTGGATCGAAACAGTGCGCAGAGATAGGGGCAGGAAGGTCAAGAGTTTAGCACCAAGTCATGATGTTTATATGGAGGGCCAGTGTTGATTAATGGGCTGAATGGCCTCCTTCCCGCACCATATCTATCCTTGGTTTCAGGGGCATGGGCAGGGTGAATATCTTCCTTACTTGAAGGGTCAGTAGCAAAGGGCATAATTTTAAGATGAAAAGCATGAGGTTTTTGGGAAGTTGAGGGATATGTATTTTTACCCAGTGGGTGCTGGGAATCTGGAACGCACTGCCTGGGAGAGGAGTTGAAGCAGGAAATGTCACAGCCTTTAAAAAATCTACTTGGATGAGCACCTGAAACATAAAAACATAGAAGATAGGAGCAGGAGGAGGCCATTTGACCCTTCGAGTCTGCTCCACCATTCATCATGATCATGGCTGATCGTCCAACTCAATAGCTTCATCCTGCTTTCTCCCCATAACCTTTGACCCCATTTGCCCCCAAGTGCTATATCTAGTCACCTCTTGATTACATTCAATATTTTGGCATCAACTACTTCCTGTGGCAATGCATTCCACAGGCTCACCACTCTCTAGGTGAAGAAATGTCTCCTCATCTCTGTCTTAAATGGTCTACCCCGAATCCTCAGACTGTGACCCCTGGTTCTGGGCACACCCACCATCGGGAACATCCTCCCTGCATCTACCCTGTCCAGTCCTGTTAGAATTTTATAAGTCTCTATGAGAGCCCCCCTCATTCGTCTGAGCTCTAGCGAAAACAGTCCCAACCTAGTCAATCTCTCCTCATTCGTCAGACCCACCATCCCCGGAATCAGCCTGGTAAACCTTCGCTGCACTCCCTCGAGAGCAAGAGCATCCTTCCTCAGAAAAGGAGACCAAAACTGCACACAATATTCTAGGTGTGGCCTCACCAAGGCCCAGTATAACTGCGACAACACATTCCTGCGACTGTACTCAAAACCACTCGCAATGAAGACCAACATACCATTTACCTTCTTTACCACCTGCTGCACCTGCGTTCTTACCTTCAGCAACTGGTGCACAAGGACACCCAGGTCCCACTGCACACTCCCCTCTCCCAAGTTACAGCCATTCAGGTAGTAATCTGCCTTTTTGTTTTTGCTTCCAAAGTGAATAACCTCACATTTATCCAAATTATACTGCATCTGCCATTGATTTGCCCACTCACCCAATATATCCAGATCATGCTGAAGGATCTCTGCATCCTCGTCACAGTTCACCCTCCCACCCAACAGGGTATCACCTGCAAACTTGGAGATAGTACATTTTGTTTCCTCATCCAAATCATTAACTTATATTGTGAATAGCTGGGGTCCCGATCTCTGTGGCACCCCATTAGTTCCAGCCAGCTAATTTGTAAAGGACCCATTAATTCGTACGCTTGGTTTTCTCTCTGCCACCCAGTTTCCTATCCATCTCAATACGCTTCCCCCAATCCCATGCGCTTTAATCTTGCACATTAATCTCTTATGTGGTACTTTGTCAAACGCTTTCTGAAAGTCCAAATATATAACATCGACTGGCCCCCTTTGTCAACTCTACTAGTTACATCTTCATAGGATTCCAACAGGTTTGTAAGCATGATTTCCCCTTCATAAATCCATGCTGACTCTGTCTGATCCTGCTGCTGCTTTCTAAATGCTCTGCTATAAAGTCCTTGACAATGGATTGGAGAATTTTTCCCACTACTGATATTAGGCTCACTGTTTTATAATTCCCTGTTTTCTTTTTACCTCCCATTTTGAATATTGGATTGACATTAGCCACCCTCCAATCTGCAGGGACTGTTCCAGAGATTATAGAATCCTGGAAGATGACCACCAATGCATCCATTATTTCTGGAGCTACTTCCTTAAATACTATGGGAAGTAGATTATCAGGCCCTGGGGATTTATCTGCCTTCAATCCCAACAATTTTCCCAGCACCATTTCTGTACTAATATTGATCTCCCTCAATTCTTCCCTCTCTCTAAATCTTGCATCCTTCAACATTTCTGGTATCTGATTTGTCTCCTCTTGTGGAGACAGAACCAAAGTATGTATTCAGTTGTAGTAGGAACTGCAGATGCTGGAGAATCTGAGATAACAAGGTGTAGAGCTGGATGAACACAGCAGGCCAAGCAGCATCAGAAGAGCAGGAAAGCTGACGTTTCGGGCCTGCTGTGTTCATCCAGCTCTACACCTTGTTATCTATGTATTCAGTTGGTCAGCCATTCCTTTGTTCCCTATTATACATTCCCCTGTTTCTGTCTGTAGGGGACCTACATCTGTCTTTACCAATTACTTTCTCTTCACCTACCTATAGAGACTCTTAGCACCAGTCTTTATGTTCCCTGCAAACTTACTTTCATACTCTATTTTCCCCTCCCTTGTTCCTTCTTTGCTGAATTCTAAACTGCTCCCAATTTTTGGCCAATCTGTATGCTTCTTCCTTGGATCGGATACTATCTCTAATTTCCTTTGTAAGCCATGGATTGGCCCTCTTACCCATTTTTCTTTTGCCACAGACAGGAATAAACAGTTGTTGCAGTTCCCCCATGCGTTCTTTGAATGTTTGCCATTGCCTACCCACTGCCATCCCTTTAACTCTCCCCAATCTATCAAGGCCAACTCACGCCTCATATCCTCGCAGTTTACTTTATTAAGATTCAGCACCCTAGTCTCCAAATCAACAATCTCACTCTCCATCTTGATAAAAAATTCTATCATGATATGCTTGCTCTTCCCCAAGGAGTCCCACGCAGCTAGATTGGCAATGATTCCCTTCTCATTACACAGTACAAGTCTAAGATGGCCTGCTGTCTAGTTGGTTCCTCCACATATTAATCAAGAAAACCATCCCGTATATACTCCAGGAATTCCTCTTCTACAGCATTGTGGCTGATTTGATTTGCCCAATCTACGTTCAGATTAAAATCACGCATTATCAGCGATATTTCCTGTTTAATGCCATTCTCAACATCACCACTGCAGTTTGGGGATCTATATATGACACCCACTAATGTTTTTGCCCCTTGATATTTCCCAGTTCTACCCATACAAACTCCACGTTGTCAGAGCTAATATCCTTTCTCACTATTGTGTTAATTTCCTCTTTAACCAGCAATGCCACTCCATCACCTTTTCCTTTTTCATGTCCTTCCTAAATACTGAATATCCTGGGACACTCAGTTCCCATCCCTGGTCACCCTGCAGCCATGTCTCCATAACCCCAATTATATCGTGCGCGTTTACATCCACCTGTGAGATTATTTCATCCACTTTATTGCAGATACTCCACGCATTAAGGCACAAAGCTATGGTGGTACAGACTTGATGGGCTGAAGGGACTAAGAACTATACAGCACAGGAACAGGCCCTTTGGCCCTCCGGTCTCTTCCATACTGTATGATTCTATGACTAATACCAGGATGGATGTTAAACTATCTGCTTTTCCTGTCCTGGGAGTCTTTATGGGGACAATGTAGACGAAGCTTTACTCCGCATCTAACCCTGTACTGTCCCTGTCCTGGGCGTGTTTGATTGGGATGGTGTAGAGGGAGTTTAGTTGCTGTCATGGTACTGTGGCTTTTCAGCTTTTTCCATTTTTGAAAGCATTTGACATAGTGCTACGTATCAGGGTGGTTAACGGATCAGAAATGTTTGGGATTGATGTGTCCTCAGCATCATGGATTAGATGTTGGCCAAATAACAGGGAACACAGGGTAGGTATAGATGGACATTTCTCAGGCTAGAACCATGTTGAAAGTGGTGCTCCCATGGATTACTATTTGGACCTTTGCTTTTTTCTGATTTATGTAAACAATTTGGAGGCAGGTGTTGAAGGCAAAATCTCTAAACTTGCAGCTGATATTAAGCAAGGGAGAATAGTGAATTGTGAGGATGAAGGTCAGTGACTTCAGAGCAACATTGACAAGTGACCAAATGGGCAGAATCCTGGCAGATGAATTTCAATGCAGAGAAATGTGAGGTCCTGCATTTTGGTGGAAGAAATGTGGAGAGACAATACAAGCTCAATGGTACAAGTTTGAGGGAAGTACAGGAGCAGAGGGACCCCAGGGTTCACATGCATGATTCTCTGAAGGTGACCAGGCAAGTTGTTAAGAACGATTATAGGATCCTTGGGTTTATTAATAGAAGCCGAGAGTATAAAAGCAAGGAAGTGATGCTACACCTCTACAAATCATTGGTCAGTGTATTCAGCTCTGGGCATCTTATTTAAGGAAGAATGTTAAAGCCCTGGAGAGAGTGCAAAAGAGATTTACTGGGATGATACCAGGAATGAAGGATTTTAGATACAAGGAAAGATTAGAGACATTGGGCTTGTCCACCTTAGAGCAGAGAAGAATGAGAGCTGACCTTACTGAGATTTACAAAATTATGAACAAGTTATGGACAAGGGAAAGAAGGATATTCTATTTCCACAGTTGGAATGTCAGTAACTAGGGGTCACGATTTCACGATTGTCAGCAAGACAGCTAGGAGTGAGATGAGGAGAAATTCCTTTACTCAGACAGTTGTTAGGATTTGGAATGTGGTGCATGGGAGAGGGAAGTTCCATAGGAAGTTTCAAAAGAGAGCTGGATATATATTTGAAAGGGATCAATTTAGAGTGCGACAGAGATAGGGCTGGGGAGTGGGACTAGCTCGGTAGCTCTTTTGGGACCTTGTACGGACATGATGGGTTGAATGGCTTCATTCCATACTGTAATTCTATACTTCTGTTGCAGTGTGTAGCTTGTTGGCTGCATATCGCATGGTGGACCTGATGGTGTACGAGTTGTAGGGGGGTGGGAGGGTGCTTGGAGCTGGAGTTAGCAATAACTGCTTGAACTTCTGTTTCTTATGCTATTCCAGTGCTCGAGATTCCAGCCAATTGGATAGAAAGGGAGAGCGGGAGAAGAGCAACCCACTGATGGACAGCAAGTCAGAGCTGAGGGAGGAAGACGATGGAAAGCAAGAGGCAACATCATTTAAGTAGGTGGAACGAATTTGAGCAAAGGTTCAGCTGCAATTTCTCACAGACAATCAACACAATGTCAGTGTTCCACACGAACAGTGTTCACGGTCAGTGTTACACAGGGACAGAGTGTTCACAGTCAATATTACACAGGGAAAGAATGTTCACGGTCAGTGTTACACAGGGACAGAATTCTCACAGTCACTGTTACACAGAGACAGAATTTTCGTTTTCAGTGTTACACAGGGACAGAGTGTTCACAGTCACTGTTACACAGGGACAGAATGGTCGTGGTCACTGTTACACAGGGACAGATTGTTCACGGTCACTGTTACACAGGGACAGAGTGCTCATGGTCAGTGTTACACAAGGACAGAGTATTCACGGTCAATGTTACACAGGGTTAGAGTGTTCACGGTCAGTGTTAGACAGGGACAGAGTGTTTGTGGTCAGTGTTACACAGGGACAGAGTGCTCATGGTCAGTGTTGCACAGGGCCAGAGTGCTCGTGGTCAGTGTTGCACAGGGCCAGAGTGCTCGTGGTCAGTGTTGCACAGGGCCAGAGTGCTCGTGGTCAGTGTTGCACAGGGACAGAGTGCTCGTGGTCAGTGTTGCACAGGGACAGAGTGCTCGTGGTCAGTGTTGCACAGGGACAGAGTGTTCGTTTTCAGTGTTGCACAGGGACAGAGTGTTCGTTTTCAGTGTTGCACAGGGACAGAGTGTTCGTTTTCAGTGTTACACGGGGACAGAGTGTTCGT